TCGGTCCTAAAATTTTTTTAACATTATCTTTTCGATTAAAAAATAATGAATTTAAAGTAGTAGGAAAGTAATAAATTTAAAACAGATTGAGCAAAAAATTTTAATTATATCGGCAAGTTTTTATTAAATTTTACATATCTATCTATATTATCTCTTTCTATTGCTTTATTATGTAATGTGTACATGTGTGAATTTTAAAATTAACGTGCACAGAAATACGAGCGCTTCTATACTATATCGTACAATACTGCATTTAAATGATAAAGAATTTGTTAAATTGCAGGTATGTAATACAACAGGAAATTGTTTGCACAGTCTATTTATTTTTGTTTATAAGAGATAGTTTTTCGCGTATGTTAAAAACGAAGTAATGAAACAACCATAATAGTTATTCATAATGGTAAATTATGTTAAAAACAGATACATTATTGCCTACTGATAAAGTATGCGATGCAACGTAATACACTTCCGTTTTTATCGGAAACTGCGGTTTTTTCACGCACGCGTTAAACGATATTTATTTCGTGATTTCAAATATGGTAACTCATATATTCAGTCTTGATGATTTAACTAAACGTTGTCCTCGTACATGGTAATAAACAAAACGGACTTAATACAAAGCCACTTATCAATACTGCTGCATTCTCTTGTATAAGGTATAAAATATTGGTATATTTGTACAATCACTGCCCCCGGAATTTTTATTAAATATTTCGTTTTCTCGAGTTATGCTTGAAATGTTTTGTTTGCAAAATAAAACGGCTTGCCATCGCATTTAGTTAAATCACTTTAACATCAATGAGCGAGCGTGCCCATAGGATCCCAGGCGGGTAAAACGATGGGCTCCTGATTGAATACACCCATCACATCCGCAGGTACGTATTTTTTATCTACGACTGCCTCAAAGACAAAATTAGCAAACCACTCGGTTGTTACAACCTGATAACCCTTTTGTCCGTGATCCTCGCCCCATGAATTTTCTATCCGGAATTTCTTTATTTTACCCTCTCGCTAAAACAGAATAATATTCATATATTAGATAAATCCATTGCGTTGAGCACGAAAGGCAACTTTGAAACTATTATAAGATTCTTTAAGATTGATTTATACATTTAGATTCAGTAAGAAACTAATGGCAAGACCAATCATATTAAAGAATCTTACAACAGTTATAAAGTTTTTTCTGCTGAATACAACTAATATAAATATTGCTTAAATTTTATGTATTTGGCGTAAAAAAATATTGGAAAATACTTACATCTATTGAAACAGCCGTAAATGCCATCGCGTGTACCATCATAGAATCTCCATAGAGCAATCTGTCGGCCTTAGAAAGCCCGAGGTGAATGTCGGTACCGAACATTAGTTCGAAATTGTAAGTGTTTATATCATGAATACCATGTTTATCTATTAATCTTTTGTTAACATCACAACCGAACCAAACAGGCTCGTTATCTTTGATACTCTCGGCACATAGTTTCATCAGTAATTCTACTGGCTGATTATTGTAGCGAGTAGTTTTCCCGCTCACGACATTTCCCAGGCAATCTACGGTATAGAGTTTCCCGTAAGGATTACCCGGTCGTGGATCGGTTACCAGGCATACTTTATCGTTCACATTGTAATACGGTTTCACGCAATTCTCGTAAAACTCTAGTGGTGTGATTGGGCCTACGCAGTTGTAATTCTTCGACTTGTCGTAATATTCCCATGTAATCTTCTCAGAAGGTACACCCAAACAGATGCCGATTATCCGATAGATCACCGTCATCTGCTCGTTTATTCGCGTCTTCAGCTCGTCATCAGATGCCCCATTGTCGATCATGTCTCGCAGAGCCTTGGCATATTCTCTCAGCTTGCTTTTCAGCAGACTATTCATACGAACGCTAGACTCGCAGCTGTATGATTCCGGGAAACACGTTTTCGGCACGACACCGTGTCTAGTTATCAGATTCACAATCATATCCCATTGGCCACCATCGCAGGTAGGATCGGTTAACAGGAAGTTGACTAAACGGCCCTCGACCGGCTCGCCGCGTTTCGCGGTGTTTACGATATTGTGCAAGAAGTAATTGCAACGTTCTACCTGCAAGAGAAATATAGCTGGCTGTAATATCATAACAACAAAACGAACAGTGACAGTATTTGCAACCAATGACACATGTATAAATCTAGCATTCTTATGTTTTTGCTCTAATAGAAAGTTGAGTTTAAATAACCGTTAGAATTCAGTACTTTTTTACTGTAGCTATTACAAGGCATGTTTTTTTCAGTTAACTTCTTGCATCGTTCATTTGTCTTCTTTTTGTCTTCAACTGAAAATTAGAAAGAAAGTAACCGATTCTCTGAATGGCTTTTTAAACTGTCAACTTCTGGCTTCACTCTACAGACAGTATGCCTGGCTCATGTCAGCCAAGTTTGTCAAAAACAAATTAAGACATTAAATTTAATACAAATGTTGTTATATTTAATGATATTAGCAAATTAGTGGTAGATACAACAAAATGTCTATTGAGAAATCAATTGTCGACAAAAAAGTTGTACAAAGCTTGTTGATATTGATAATGCGACAATTTACTTTCACATTAAGTCAATAAGCTTTGTTCACAAAACACAAACTTAATACGGACACAGTTGATGCTAATTTGATGAAATTTTTTATTGAATTTGCCAGTAATTTGCCAGTAGACATTAATAGTAAGCAAAATTAAATTACTGTTGTCTTTTGAACGGCTGCGTTCAGCAGAGAAAACTAATCGACGCTTAGTGATTCTTCAGTATAATTGGTTCCTACACTTAGATCCAGTGAAGAACTAAAGGCAAGAAACCAATCATATTAAAGAATTTTTACTAACATCTTTACTAATCTTTACTAGAACTAAGCCCTGATTAGTTTTCTCTGCTGAATGCAGCCAATGCCTTGTCTTGTACACAACCAGGGCCATGGTCTGATTCATGCTGTCAACGCTTATGAGCATCATTCGTCTTCGTTTAACATTTGACAAACAACAAGGATGAAATAATTTTAAAGTGTTATGAGCATGAATCAGACTACGGCCCAGTAGCAACGCACTAACACAATTATTCAGATTCTCCAATCACATTAAATTGACAAATAAATTTAAAATAAATGTAAAATAACTATAAAAATAACTCAAATTAGTTACTACTTACAAAAAATATAAATAAATAGAGTTATAGTTATAGACGGAAAAAACGAAGTTAACTTACAATTATTAAAAAAAGTAACTCTAACTATAATTTAGTTACAAATAAAAAACTAGTTACTTCCCAATCTCGTACATGTCGTTGTATACAATGCTGAAAATTAACCAACCTTATCCCAGAAAAATAGGTAAGCTTGGCTAAACTCGAACTCGTCTAGATTATGCTGTTTCATGAAGCTAGTTCTCATAACGTTTAGGATGGCAAAGAGCCAGCATCTTCCAGAGTTCTTCTGATTAGTTACAGGCTTGCCCTCAGTCTCAATCTTATGAGTGAAGACATGATGGGTCTCCTCCAGGATCTTTCTCGAGGCACAAGCCTCGATAGGATTCGTTTTCGTGCAGACATTCTGTGCCAACACATTGCGGCTATCGGCATAAAACTTTGCACGTAGCTGATCAAGAACCTCGGAAGTTAATGGACCTATACAAAAAAAAGAAGAGCAACATTAAATTTCGTCAAAATTCTACATGGCTTATTTACTTCAATCTCTGCATTGTTACGTTGTTTGTCGCGTAATTCAGGGAAAGAACGCGCTATCAGTGTCATCACATCAGTAAACATTCGATTCGAAACAAAGATGCCAACATTCGCGCGATCCGATAACGGCAGAAAAGGGGTTCGCAGGTGGCGATTTCGAAATTATTAATAACATCCGAGGGTGTGGCATACCGTGAGAGAAAAAATCGGGCATATTTGGAAAGGTTAAGGCTCGTCAATTACATCCTCGCGTCTATCGATTCATCGCGTCTAATCCCAGGCCCTTTTGCGCGGGCCAGATGTTTTTCCACGCGTCGCAAGCATTTCCATCGCAGCGGCGGTATTTTCCTAATCTACATAGCGTGTACATGCGTAACTTACAAACAACCATCGTAACGGATGCGGCAAGCAAACCCCAGCAAACCCAGGCGACGCCAAAAACAGCCAAGTCAATGTTCGCGTTGTGGCTCCAACGCCTCCAACTGCGTTCAGGCTTCGGGCTGCGTTTATGGAAACGGCGCACCTCGCTTTTATCCCGTGATCGATAGACAAAGCAAGATCTATATCGCTCTATCTCGCTCGCTCCCTCTCCTCTGCTCCGCATCTGTCCGTATCGGGTGGCCAAAACGCGCGATCCATGATTTTTCGTTCCGGGGGATCTTTTCGAGTGGTTACGTAAGACCCTCCCATAGTTTCCTCAGACGCATCCGTGGGATAAATAAACATTTTCGAAGTTCAAAAAAAATTATATAAAACGTAAACACAGGTCGTAAAAAATTTCTTTCCCGCCCTTTATCATTTTTACGTCTTTCCGATTTTTTATTTTTTATTTGATGTTTTAATTTTGAACTTTTTCAAGCAAAACCGACTTTATAGAAATAAAATTGCAAAACCCACGTTGATTGAGTATTCTTTCTGTATTTACATATTCAATATATTTAAAGAGTTAGTTTTTTTACATTTGCATATATTATTAAATTTCATTAAAATTAGATTGTGTTAGAAAATGAATTATGGACGCTAGATATCCTCTTATATAGGAGATTATAACAGTTTTTTCAGAGAAAATATGTACATTATAATTTTATTGAAGTTGTCCGCGAAATTAGTTTCCGAGTTATCACAAGATTCACACTTAGATCAATCATTGGCTGCGTTCAGCAGAAAAAGCAGCTTTGCAACTATTATAAAATTCTTGAATATGATTGGTTTATACATTTAGATCCAATGAGAAACTAAGGGCAAGACCAATCATTAAAGAATTTTACAACAGTTGCAAAGCTGCTTTTTCTGCTGAACGCAGCCATTGATTGTACTTGATTATCGTCATCTAATAATTGTTATATATTTATCTAACTAATCATCACTTATAATTATTAAATCATCCTTCGTTAAAGAATCAGATTTCTACATTGGGCGTGGATGGCTCTGCTTTCGATTCTAAAGAGAATGGCGGAATTCTGCAATCAAACGCGTATCCGTCTTCTCTTTCCATCCTAAATGTTCCCCTGAAAACAAAATCGTTGAGAACAATTAAGTAAATAACGCCTTTTTTCAATTTACAAGAAATTAAGGCTGCGTTTTTGTTTTTAGGAGATATAGTCGACAAAAGTATCATTCTATTTTGTTATTCATTGAATGTCAATAATTCAGTCATAGAGCAATATTTGTATCGACTATGTCTCCTAAAAGCAAAGCAGCCAGGTAATCGTGCTTACCACATATGACCACTAGGAGCTTGCAAGCTCACATGACTACTATATTGAAAAGCGGGTAAAGCTTTCGATAGCACAGGTTCCTGACCCACTACGCCTCTTCCTCTAACAGTTTCTAATGTACCTGACAAGCTGAATATTCTCCAGTGCCTTTCACGCAATTGCACGCTCAACTCACCCAAGTTTTCTAGTCGGATGCAATAACGCCACTATAAAACAGAAGATATGATGAAAAATTAACGTTTAACTCAATTCTAGTCCTTTTGCTAATGGAATAAGATCTCTGACTTTGTTATATCAACTCACCCAATATACAGAAGTAGTTTGACTATCCCTGCAACCCATGTAGAACGGTATAACGGTAATACGAATATTCTCGGTCGTTTCTTTATGTACATCTGACAACTCAAGCCACGGATGATTCTTTTTCTGCCATGTGCGAAGGGTCTCCTGTGCCACAAAGCACGGCTCCTTGTCTGGATGATAAGTCAGAAATTTATCGAACAGTTCATGTTGCAGCGCCGCTTTCTCATTTGTGGTATATGGCAGTACATCCTCATGAGCGACATAATCTAATCCAGGAATTGCGTATAAGCTGCGACTGCTCTCATGGTTGCCCAAGAAAGTAACTGCCTCTGTTTGAGCACGCTACTTATATATATATATATATATATGTGTGTAATAAAATATTAGGCCTATTCTTTATCGCTGCATTAGAATGCAATAACACTTTCTTTCTCATTTTGTCAAACTCTTTAAACATATATCTATTTACGAGCGTTCAGTCAATGAAAACAGATAGAGTCTATTTTCTATAACAGAATTAGTATACATTTTTGGAATTTATAGTGAAATAAGTATAGTCGGAACTTAAAAGATTGCCTTTTTTTTCAATGGGTTTCGGAATGCAACTTGTTTAACGAGCGATTGATTCTTATTCATGGATCGACAAGTAAGAATCGCTTGGTGAGTAGGCCATATTCCAAAATCCATTTTAAAAAGTGTTGCAACCTTTTAGGCCCTGACTGTACATGAATGATATTACTTGGCAACTACGAGAAAGAAAGTATAGTCTAGTACAAAAATAAAAAATAATCTTCTGAACGTTGCTTACTATGTAAGGACAATCACGTTGATCAATCAAAACTTGATAAAATGTGTGTGTTCTGCCTTTTACTTCTTTCTCACCGACACTGTTAAAATTGCTGTTATCCTTTCTATAATTAAATGCACAAATTATCTGCACACAATTTATATACAAAACAAACAGATATATTTATCCATATAGGTAACTATAAATAACTATACGTACTCATCCTTCTTATTAGATATATCTCTGTCATATACTCTTGCCAACCATGGAAATAGAATGACACCTCGGTAACCAAAGACTCTGTGTAAAATCAATTGACCTGTCTCATATTTTCCCTGTAACTTTGGTGTTTCTAATTTGCCGACTTCCGCTAGTCTACAAAGACATTTATTGCAAATATTATCATATAATTAAATACTATGGTGGTCATAAGGGTCCGAAGAGCTCATGTAATTTTTCATTATACTCTCTAGTATTTAATCAATATTAATTTTTAACTGAAAAAAAATTATAAAAGATATCACGATGCAAGACTCTAGGAACAAAGAATAAAAAGAAAGCAATAATGCATAGGACATAATATAATTTTCAATTTAAATATTGTCAACGATTGTGAACGCAATAACAGCTAATGAACTATGAAGAGGTTTTCCACAATAAACAATTACTTAAGCTCTTAAGGGCTGGTTGTTCCATCTTCACATAAACTATGTGGTAATTTAGCTAGTGATATAAATCAACACAATATCATTCTATTTTTCTTTGCATTCCATGAGTAACAAAGACAGAATGATACTCATGTCAACTTATGTCACTAGATGAAGGCATCCCTAATATAGTGCGAGTGACTGAATTCATCATGAGTTCATTTTTATTTGCTGTACTATCCATTGAAGCAAGTTTGTTTCATACATTCATGTTTGCTAGTATTATTTGGTTTAATTCCAACTTAACAAATGTAACATAAATATAGATATTCTTTATATTTCAACAACACAAACCATTTTAATAAATAATAACGAATTCAATTGAATGCACTATGGCTTACTGGTATATTAAAGCTGTTGTATATTGACTTAATACGAGTGTAAAAGTAAAATGTCAATATTTTGAATTATAAAGTACATTTTATTTAACAGCATAATAAAATGTATAAAGGATCTCACTCATTTCTATATTTATATCACAAACACACATCATTACATCAATTTATGTATGGCTTTAATATGCATCAGTATGCACTGAATGCATCCAATCAAAATCGCTTGTAACAATATGCTCTTTCCCCCTCTTTCACTCTTCTAAACTAATTCCACATGTAAACAAAGCAAGGAAAAACTGATTTGCAACACACAACGACATAGTGAAATCACCATTCGAAAATGAAGTTCTCTCTTTGTCAATAATTAATCGTAACAAAGGATAAATCGCTAAATGATCTAATATTCATTTCGTTGACTTCATATGTACCTGATGCATCGCACGTGTTGCAGACGTATTACGGCCGCCTTGAGAAACGATCGTTTCAGGTTATAGCCAACGAGATTCCGCACGAATTCCATGGTTACCCGAGAATTATCGCCGACACCTGATGAGATTTATGTCGTAGGATGAAAAACTGCAGTTGACGGTTGCTGCATTGACATCTCTACTGATTTTTAGGGATCATCTTCAGAATATACCGGAGGTTATACTGTTTATATCGCCGACGAGACAGCGGTGGCAGAGGGAGGAGGGAGGAGAGGAAAGTAATGAAAAAATTTTTTTTAAATCAAATATTAGAGAAAGAAGAGTTTGCAATGTTGCATCGAATACATACATTGTTTGCATACAATACATTTTGGACCGGTTTCACCAACGCCAATTAATAGAACTGTCTGGTCAATTTTACTACAGCAAATGCGATTGGTCAGCTCCACACTGATTGAGTAAACTGATGTTGGTGAAACCTGTCATTTGTATATAAATTTAAATTTTAATCATTTAATTTATATATATAATTAAATAATTTAAATTTAAATTTTTAATAAATAATCGTACTAAATTAATTTAGATCTGCTCAAGTTGTATTTTTTGCACGTAAAATATTTGTTTTCTCTTTCCTCGATACTCAAATTATAATATTTATCCCGTTCTAAGTGCAACATTTTTTTCTTAGAAATTTCAAGCAACGCGAACAAATTTTTTAATGGCTGCGTTCAGCAGACTCAACAGTTTTGCAACCGTTTTATGATTGTCTGCTGAGATAGGACCATTCTTCTAGATCTAAAAGTATGATCCAATTAGCGCGAAGGAAACTTACAACAGTTGCAAAACAAATGTTCTGCTGAACGCAGCCAATATCCATAGTTACCAATAATGGCTGCAGCACAGACTCTTGCATAAAGATGCCTTTTCATATTGGCTGCGTTCAGCAGACTCAACAGTTTTGCAACCGTTTTATGATTGTCTGCTGAGATAGGACCATTCTTCTAGATCTAAAAGTATGATCCAATCAGCGCGAAGGAAACTTCCAACAGTTGCAAAACAAACGTTCTGCTGAACGCAGCCTATGACTAATAGCGTTCACACCTTGACGGAAAAGCAGAAAGCGAAAAAGTAGCAGCCAATCAGAATTCGCGCTGGTAGTCGACAATTTCGGCTTTTTGTACACTTACTACCAGCGTGAGTTGTGATTGGCCACTGCTTTTCCGCTTTCTGCTTTTCCGTCAAAGTGTAAATGCGCCCTAAGTAGCTCGTGAAAATTTACCCGAATTTACCTTCAGCATGAAAAAGCACCTTTAAGTATCGGCCCTTAACTTTCGAGATAAATCGCGTGCGAGCGTTGGCAACTTCGCGCCGCGCGACGCGTGGCACGTCCACCAATGGGATCGCTAGACGAGGTGGACGGTGGACCGGTGATGTAGCTCCGTATCGCGCCGTCGTAGTCAGCAAACTTCAAGCGATCGAATTGCGTTGTCGCGTCCCTCGGCACGCTTAACCGTGTACCAGAACGAAGTTTCGCCACCGATTCTCTTTCGCCGATGCTCAAGTCGTGCTGACCATGCCAAGTGTCTATAGAAGATCGCGCGAATCACGTCGCGGGTGGTACACACGCACTTAAGAACCAGGCGGTCGGTATCACGGCTTGTAAAAGCCCGTGTGAACACTGCGAGCGCATCCGTGTGAAAGGCGATCCACCGCGCGGCGGCGGCTCGTCGTCGGATATATTTGCTTTGTTGATATTTTGAGTGTCACAGGCCCTGCGGCGCTTATGCATATCTCCAGGTAATGTTCAATTATGTCTCATTCCCCTTTCCCGCCACGGCGTTTTCGGTTCTGCCAGCACTTCGTCAGTTCCCGTTTTCGCGAAAAACTTGTTTACGTTGTGGCTTGTATACGTGCACGGCGAGCGCACATAACCTCTAAACCGACGGGCGCCAACGTTAATTGTCCATTTCTTCGATAATTATTATGCGCATTAATTTGTCGATACATTGTTGAGTAATTTTTACTTTATCTCGTTTACGTTTCACTCGTCCATTTGTGAACCAAGATGAACTTCCGTCCCAGCGTTCTCTTCAAAGTTACTAAATTTACAGAATGAAGAGACTTCTGCAGTTTTCATGAATTATCCTAATCTAACGTTTGCATCAAGTCTTAGGCACAATGCAAAGTAATAGCGACAAGAACAACGATAGGAATAGTATAGAAATAAGCGATATATAATTGTCGCTTCCCGTTGCACAATGCCGTGAAAGAAATAAAAAGGCCAACCAATCTGATCATATATAGACTGTAGTATATTTTCTTCCATCTGTTTCAAGATTATAGCATATATAAACAAAATGAAAAATCTTGACACTGATTGGTAGGCTATGAGGCGATAGACATAGACTTTCAACTTGTTGGAAATTTATCGCTAGTTGTGTATTTGTTTTTACGTGTATTGACATATACATTCCAAATATTGGAATACATCTGTTTCTATCGTTAGCGTTATTTGTTTGCTATCACTATTGCCTCGCATTGTATTTAGGACTTCATAGTTGTTTTTCATTTACAGCAAAAGATAATTCTCATTTGTTTTTTTTTTTTTCATTTACAGTAAAATTCAGATAATTCTTATCAATTCAGATACTTCTAATTTGTTATAACAGTTGAATGCATGATCCTTTTCATTCTAACAAGTGAGATTCAACTAAGTTTTTACCTATAATCTACACAAGCTTGAGACCACTTATTTTACTGAGTTAACTAATATTGAAAGTGAGATTATAAAAACTTGTGTTATATGATAATTTTGTCACTAAAGTGAGTAGTGACGTCATTATCTGAATATAAAATACATAACTTTAGATTTGATATCATTTGTGTGAGAATGGAAAGCAACTATTATCATGTTGATGCTTTTGTCTTAAAATATATCAAGATGTGAATTATATGTTTTTCTAAAATATCAAAAATATTAGCAGCATTGTACCTTCAATGTTAATATTGAACTTTATATCACATTTAATTTTTTAAATAAAGTACATAAATATGTTGTATAAATTTTTCTAAGTTAACTTATTCAAAGTGTATAATTCAAGATGTTGTACAATAATATATCTTATAGTTTCAAAGAAATCTATGTAAATTAAAAGCTTATTTCATCTTTAAATATTATCCATTTGTTATATTTTCTAAAAACAAGATTATACTAAACATAATATGTAAGATATCAGAAAACAATCAGTGAAAATATCAATTATCTTTATTATGTATCTTTTTGAACTGAGTTATATCTTATAGAGCTTAATATAGATAAATCTTATTGCATTACAGAATTTGGACCGTGTTCTAGAATACATTAAAGATAAAGTGCTTGATTACACTTGATTGATTTATTAAATAGCCGCTATGGCTGAAATAATATACCCGCAAGGGTGCAGATCAGTCACTGAAGATTTAGGTCCAGATGAATTAATCAGGAGACTCAAGGTACAATTAGATAACATGCTTTTTGTGATAAATAATGCATTATATACAAAACATAATAGTTAAGGTTGTTGTCAACTTGGTGCTCGCAATGCTCTTGAGATCATTTTATTCTTGTTAAACAAAGTTGTTAGACAAATGTTGATCAAGGAAAAATTATTCTTGCGAGTATTGCGAGCGCCAAATAGAACGTATTCTAAAATATAACAAATGTATAGACACTAGCACATACGTTGCAAGCTATGGGACAAGATGAAGGAATGTATCAGCAATACATACCACTGGCATTACATTTGGCAGAAGAGCATTTTCTGATGCATCAGAGCAAAGATGTACAACTACTAATTGCTTGCTGCATCGCAGATGTCTTAAGAGTATATGCACCAGAGGCTCCTTATAAAGATGCCGATCAGGTAAATATTTGTGTTATAATTGTAACAATTTATCAAATATTAGTAATAGTCATTATTAATATGGATTGATTTAATTAAAGATCATCAATTGAACCAGGCAGTTTTTAATTACTACTTCTTTCTGACATTTTAGGTCAAAACGATATTTCTGTTCCTTATTAAACAACTGGCAGGCTTAAAAGATCCTAAAGATCCTGCTTTTAAACGGTACTTCTATCTACTTGAGAATTTAGCTTATGTCAAGTCATTTAATATGTGTTTTGAGCTTGAAGATTGCCAAGAGATTTTTTGCGCATTATTTTCCCTTATGTTCAGAATTGTCAAGTAAGTATATATCTCAAGGTAAAAAAAAGAAAAATAGGTTGTTAAAATTTCTGCAATATGATGCGATTAATGTAACTTATTTTTAGTGATGAACATTCTGGTAAAGTTAAAAGCTTCATGCTGGATGTTTTATGTCCACTTATTACCGAATCGGACATTGTCAGTAACGAACTTCTGGATATTATACTCATGAATATTGTAGAACCAAACAAATCACAGAAAAAGAACGCATATTTGCTTGCTAAAGAGCTAGTAATCAAATGTAGCGATACATTAGAACCATACATTCAAGCGGTAAGTAATAAGTGTTAATTCCTTTCTGTCAAAAAATAAATGTACCGATTTTCACTTTATATAACATGTTAAAACTGTACAATGTTTTATAGTTTTTCAATCATGTCTTAATATTGGGAAAGGAGGAGAAAAGTTTGCAAATTTGCAAAAAAGTATACGATCTAATTTATGAGTTGAATCACATTTGTCCGAGTGTCTTGCTGTCCGTCCTCCCGCAACTAGAATGTAAATTAAAATCCTCCTCTGAGAATGAAAGATTGGGCGCCGTGGCGTTACTGGCAAGAATGTTTTCTGAAAAGGGCTCGCAATTAGCCGTACAGCATACGCAGTTATGGAGGGCATTTTTAGGTCGATTTAACGACATTAGCGTGGCCATTCGTATTAAGTGTGTGCAGTATTCAATGCATTTCTTGCTAAACCATCCTGAATTGAGAAAAGATATCACAGATACTTTGAAACTGAGGCAACACGATGCTGATGAAAGTGTCCGTTATGAAGTCGTTATGGCTATCGTGACGACTGCTAGACGAGACTTCGAAGTTGTGTCGGACAGTGAGGATCTCCTCGAATTTGTCAAAGAAAGGACTTTAGACAAAAAGGTAAAATATTAAAGTTAACAAAATTATTTAAATTTGAATTTAATGTTTACAGATTTACTTGAATTCTCTAATAATTATCTTTCTAGTTTAAAATACGGAAAGAGGCAATGTCTGGTTTAGCTATGATATATAAAAAACATTTGAACGATGCTGACGTACCACAGGCCACAAAGAAGGCGGTTATTTGGATAAAAGATAAAATATTGCATGGTTATTACATGGCGGGCATGGAAGATAGATTGTTGGTGGAAAGATTGCTAAATACGTGTCTAGTACCTTATCAGTTGCA